AGAAATACAAAACACAAAGAAAGGAAAGAACATAAAGAAATTTTCTATCATATCTCGGATTCTACCTATAGAATGTTTCAGTCGCTTTTAGTGAATGCAGTAATATCCTTGCAAGTTATGCAGTCTACAATTGCAAATGCATCATTAAATAAATGTGAAAAGAAAAATGAATCACTACATTTCCTAGTCAATAAATATGTCAATATGTCAAAAGCCACATCAATATGGTATAAATGATCATAACTTCTTAATATATCTCTTTCCACTGACCAACCATTCATGTAAGACTGGACTCAGAGCAAACAATCTCATCTATCACAGTAAATTTAATTAAAAGAAAGAAATAAAAAAAAAAAAAAAAAAATTTCTACCAAAACTCATATTCTACCTCTAATGTAAAAAGATTATATAGTATTTGCCTAGAAAATACATTATGCAAATAATGAAACAAAGAAAGAAAAAGCGAAGGAAGGAAGGAAAGAAAAAAAAAAAGTCTTTCTCCTCGGGAATCAAACAGTGCAGGTAGATCAAGTCGTACGTAATTCTCACTAATCCATAAAGTTAAATAAAAAATTAAAATGCTTAAATTTGATTAAACTTGGAATAGTACTCCATGCTACCTACGTATCTTCTTTTTGAGAATCAAGTCATATGTAATAGTACTCCATTTATTTCATTTTTTATTAGACTTCATGGATAATAGATAATTGGATTTCAAGAAAAATGAAAACAAACCGTAGCGTATTCCGGCTCCTTTAGATTTCAAGATGATGGAAAAATTTTAAAAATAATACATTTCAAATATTTTCATATTTCAAAAGAAATAAAAGATAAAACTCTACATTGATAACTTGTGTGATTTACAGTTATTTCAAAACAACTTGAAAAATGGAATGGAGTCTACAGCAAGATAAATGAAGAACCAAACAAACTATCTTTTGAATCTACTGGTATTTTTGAAAAAGTTGAAAAAATTGCTTTCATAGCACAAGCAACCTTCAAAAATGGATAATGTTACCTTTTAGATTTTGAAGGAAATAAGAAAAGAAATAATCGGTTTTTTTTAACACAATCAGATTTAAAGATCGACATAACAAAACTACGTTCTCGTCAAATACTAAGAAAGAACTCATTCTTCCCCTTCAAAATTCAAAAAGATACATATGCATTTCTAGAATAATGCTTGTTCTGAAAGAATACAATGGATTTTTCTTTTTCAACTTTTTCAAAAGTACCTATCACATTTGAAATTCATTACCTTCGTATCTTCATTTTTCTTGTCGAGACTACATTCAATTTCCTAATCACTTTTGAAGTATTCAATATTACACGAATTATCAAAAGAAGTCTTCCAAAACTACTATAATTACAATTTCTCCTTTATCTTGAAATCCGACAGAATGAAAAATAATTGTTCAGTTTTAGATTACTTTAAATCTATCAATGATCGGAACACATTACATTCAACACTTTACTATTCAAGAAATCTAATAAAAGATTGAAATGCTTAAATCTGACTGGACATTGAATAGTACTTCAAGTTGTCTAGATACCTTTTTTTTTAGAATCAAGTCATACGTAATTCTGCTTAATTTATGAAGTCTAATAAAAAATTTAAATGCTTAAATTTGACTGAACTTAAAGTGGTATCTTAAGCTTCCTACATACCTTCTTTTTCATAATCAAGTCATACGTACTTCTGCTCAGAGAATTCTTATAAAAAGTTAAAATGCTTAAATTAGACTAAACTTAGTGTAGTACACCAAGCTACGTACGTACCTTCTTTTCAAGAATCAAGTCATACGTAGTTTTGCTACATCTATTTCACTTTCTATAAGATTTAATGGATAACAAAGTACTGGATTTCAAGAAAACTTAAACAAAACAAAGTATTTTTCGGGTCGGTAAGATTCGAGATGAAAATAAATTGAAGATATAGGAGCTTTCAAAAACTTATATATTTCAAGAGAAACTGAATATGACACTCTATTTCTTTTATTCACTTGTGTAATTTTATATTGTTTCCAGTGATATTGGGAAATGAAATGGAGTTCATAGCAATGTAAATGAAGAATGAAAGACAATGACTTTTGAACCTACCCGCTATTTTTTGAAAAAGTTGAAAAAATCACTTTCGTAGTACAAGCATGTTTGAAGAATGGATTATATTCCTTTTAGGGTTTTGAATGCATAGAATAAGAATTAATACTTCCTTAGCACATCAAATTTAAAATCAACAGACAGACTATGTTACGGTCAAATGCTAA